AACTAGAATTAATGTCACGATCAAGTCAACATAAAATAGATTTATCTGCCGTTTCAATGCATAGAAGCAACGTGCTCTGTTTTGGGAACAAATTACCATAGCAACTCGGCCGCCCCAGTTACAGTAAGCAAGCTCAGTACGACCAAAATAAAAATCCTTACCCAGTTTGTAGGATTGGCGAGTGAGAGTTGCTGAACATCGACTTTCAGTTTCCAGATGACATTAGCCAGCATATATTTTGGGTTTTAAAAAATCGCTGAAAAGGAGGCTTTAAATAATGATAAAACTATAAAGCCAGGTTATAAAGAGAGAGGGGTTCTAGGCTGTTACCCCGCTCCCTTAAACATGCGGACCTCACCGCCAAACAGCAGCGTTTTGTTGTTAAAACACAAGGCTGTTGAAAAGGCTCATTACACTTATCATGGTGAGCTCGTTCTGCTTCACGTGGGCGGCGTGGGGGTAGGGGTTAGGGGGCAGGATCAAGTAAATGCTGGTCTTTAAGAAGAGGCAAATCAATACAAAAACAGGTTTTCTGTAGGTGTGAAAGGAAGAAAAGCAAAACCATTTTCGTTTTTTTTTCTCCACCCCCTTCCCCCACAATTCTAAATTTTGGTTCCACCTAATTCTCTGTTCTCTCTCTAGTGTCTGTCTTCTCCCACGTTGCTCTGCTCCCTCATCCTGATCACCAACAAACCAAATCACCCCCCTGTTGAGCCGGCCCCATCCTCGTTGTCTTCATCCTCTCCATCCCCCATGGCTTCCTTAGCACCTCAGGCTGGGGCGTGCCCTTAGGTCTCCTGGACTCACTGCACAGGACGACCAGCTGTCTCTCCATTGTTGCCTCAAGGCCACCAGGCCACCACCTCTCAGCCTGCTCAACCCCTGATGTTGTGGATCACTCCCTTGAGATTCCCTCCAGTTTTCATTCTGGTTGCTGGATGACTCAGTTTCTTTTTCTAATATTCTATCTTCCTACCTCCTAAATGTAGGCATTTTAGCATTTAGTGTTTTCAGGTTTCTTTACCTTAACCACTTATTTATTCAACCAGTGTCTTCAGTTCTCACTTAACGCAGATGCCTCTTACATCTTTTTGTTGTTGTTGTTTGTTTGTTCTTTTTGAGACAGCCTCTCTCTGTTGCCCAGGCTGGAGTACAGTGATATAATCATGGCTCACTGCAACTTCAGCCTCCCGGGCTCAAGAGATTTTGCACCTCAGCCTCGCAAGTAGCTGGGACTACAGGCATGCACCACCACGCTTGGCTAATTTTTGTGTTTTTAGTAGAGACAGGGTTTCACCATGTTGGCCAGACTTGTCTCAAACTCCTGGCCTCACGGGATTCGCCCACCTCAGCCTCCCAAAGTGCTGGGATTAAATGCATGAGCCACCACGCCCAACCCCTACTACATCCTTTATTGAGACTGTACCCCAACTTTCAGCTATCACAAAATCAACCTGATCAAAACTGTACTTCTCCTTCCCCAAATCAGGTCCTTCTCCAGACTGACTTTTTCTCTTCAAGTCTCATCATTTCCTGAGCATAGGTTTAAACGCTAGGAATTATTTAGACTCTTCCCAGGCATACATTTTCATTTGCCACCATCCAAAGATTGACCTTCCTTCCATTTCAAAAGCTGTCATCCTAGTTCAGGCCATCATTAGCTATTGCTTACATTGTTACAACAGCTTCTGAAGTGGTCTTTTCACCTCCAATCCTCCTTCCAGCCAGCAAAGTCTGGCAAAAAGAGGACAGGTTTTGGAGTTTGAATCTGCAATGTCCTTCCACTGTGGCTTTAATTTCTGAATCTCTCAGAATCTGTGTCTTTGTCTGTACAGGTAGCATACATAACATACGTGACACATTGTAAAGTTAATATTAGTTCCTTTCCATTTCAAAATCTACTGCCAGACTAAAATTTTAAAAGGCTTCTGGATCATTTTTTCCTTCATTGAACATTCACTTTTCTACTGAAATAAGAACATACTCCTCCTCTTAGCCCTTGAGAGACTCCTACAATATGGCCCTAGTGTATTGCTCCTACTTAGTGTTCACAACTCTCTCTTTAAACATCATCATTCTATTTCCCATCTGTCTCTTCTGTAATGTGGTAGACCGGGGCTGAAGTGCAGCGCCCTGCATCTGTCTGCTGAAATCCTAGCTGTTTTTTCAGACCCTTCTCGAATTCTACCTCCTCTCTGAGGCTATTCGTGATCCCTACAGGGATATGACCTCAGGAACACTTATATCTCTCTTGTGGCATTTTTATTATTCCACTTGCTCATTTTCTGCCTTTGACTTCTCTTCACTGCAACACTGAATGTCTGTTGATGGCATGGACTGTTTGTTATAGCATCAAACCCAGAGAGAGCCCTCTGCCTTATGCAATAATGCCTGACGCTGAAAATAAACCTGCCCGGTCACGCTTCTCTTGGTCTACTAATCTGTCTTCTCTCCTAAGCTTCTGTTGGGTGTCACCCTTCCCAGAAATAAAGTTGCATAGGGAGGCAAATCTGTTTCTAATTGACACCGAGATCTGGAGCTCATAATTTTAGGACAGGGTCCCTAAATATTATCATCTCAAATATGCCGTGCTACCGTTTCATTACACCCGGTTTTCATTGACTATTTTCATGAATCCCGGGAAAGCCTTTTATTTAAAATCGTGAGTTGATTTTGTTTTCCTTTCAGGCCTCAGAGAGCTGTGTTCTTCTCATGTAGAAATATCTTAGTCACACAAATAGATCCTTGGGAGTGTCTAACATTCCTCTTCGTTCTCATTCATGAATCAGTCTCTTCAACACAGATAGTCAATGGCTACACAGAAAAGGAACTCAGACGAAATATTCAGTTGAGCTTTTTTAAATGGAACGAGGATGAGTCCACTGAACAAATGCCTGCATCTTAAAATCTGTAGTTCTTAAAATTAATATCTAATCAATTTAGTTTTTAATATATTAATGTATTAGTACACATTATACTTATTTCTTAAATATCATATATTTAAGAAATATATATATATATTCCTTGATTTTATATATATACATGTGCATATGTATTACCCTCTTCTTTTTTCTTTTTTGAGACAGAGTTCTGTTGCCTGGGCTGGAGTGCAGTGGCACGATCTCGGCTCACTGCAACCTTCGCCTCCCGGGTTCAAGCAATTCTCCTGTCTCAGCCTCCTGAGTAGCTGGCACTACAGGCGTGTGCCACTACACCTGGCTAATTTTTGTATTTTTAGTAGAGATGGGGTTTCATTATATTGCTCAGGCTGGTCTTGAACTCCTGACCTCAGGTGATCTGCCCACCTAGGCCTCCCAAAGTGCTGGGATTGCAGGCGTGAGCTCACCATGGCCGGCCCCAACCCTCTTCTATTTTATGAGTTTAGGACGCATGAGGCTGGAAACAGTTTTATCATGATATGGGAGCTTTGGGAGCTTTTGTTGGCAATACGACTGCAAAGCACAATTTTCGAAAAGCTAAATCCATAGGCCAGGCATGGTGGCTCACACCTGTAATGCCAGCACTTTGGGAGGCCAAGGTGGGTGGATCACCTGAGGTCAGGAGTTGGAGATCAGCCTGGCCAAAATGGTGAAACCCGTCTCTATTAAAAATACAAAAATTAGCCAGGCATGGTGGTGGGCACCTGTAATCCCAGCTACTCAGGAGTCTCAGGTAGGAGAATCACTTGAACCTGGAAGGTGGAGGTTGCAGTAAGCCGAGAATGCGCCACTGCACTCCAGCCTGGGTGGCACAGCAAGACTGGATCTCAGGGAAAAAAAAAAAAGTTAAAACCATGACTCATACAAAAAGAACAAAACAGGAGTCAAAGATTTTATTTGATGTAATTAAGAAGAATCAGGAAGATATTAAGACTGTTTCTGAAGAAAGTCAAGGACCTGGAGATTTGGAGTTCATTGGTCAAAGGAGTGCAGAACCATTTATGAAAACATATAAAATCAGTTAATGCTACACTAGGCAATGGCCTTTGCAATGCAACTGGGCATGGCCAATAGTTTTATTTAAATTACCTTGATCCTTATGAAGTTGCAAAATAGCCTTCTTAATCAGTGACCAACAGGCATACAGCCCTAGAAAATCAGGGGCAGCCTAGGCAACTGCTAAATATCTAGCTCTACACAGGAGACTCAGTATTATTTTATCTAAGTTTTACATACTTGCTTTTGACACTTTCAGAAAGGTATAAAAACAATTTGCTTTTTCTATAACATATTTGTAATCAGACACATAAAAGTGGACAGAAATGTTTCCCATTCCCCCTATAGCCCCCACTGTTTCATTTGGGGCTGTACATTAAGGTTTCAAATCATGGTTCCACCATTTACTACTGGGTGACCTTGAGCAAATTACTTAGTGTCTCTGTGTCTCAGTTTCATCGCTGTAAAACAGGATTAAATAATAGTACCTTCATGGCTTTGTTATGAGGATTAAATAAGATAATGGGTAAGTGATTTCTAAAAAAATGTAAGTTACAGCACTGTTACTAAGAAGGGGTTTGCTAGTCTGCCAAAGTTTTATTCAGACACTAAAACACAGTGAGAAATAACCTGTCTCACACCTTGTTAAAAAGGGATACAGAGCTACATTTTGAAGCAGAAGCAAATGTAATTAAATCTTTGAAATGAGCCAATCAGTAACTAATAATTAAACTGGTTTGAAAGACTGCAATGAATTCTCGAGGTGTTGAAAGGATAATTCATTTCTTCCAACTCTGAAATTAAAGGAACAAAAATGTATGAGGCAGGAGTGGCAAGGGAATAATCACCTTTGCTGAGCTAAGATACCTGAGGCATTGTGCTTACCACACACTCATTATAAACTCACAAATGAATATTTTCGGAAGAAGAGTTTTTGTTTTGTTTTGTTTTGTTTTCCTCCTTAAGGAGACATGATACAGAATGAAAAGCAGAAAGGAAAAATAACCAATATTTTCGAGTCTTAGAAAGTAGGTTACTGGATGAATTAAACAGCAAAAACAGTGGTCCAAAGAGCATTTCTGCTTTAATCATTAATTCTGCATAACAAAAACAAACAAAGCAATATTTTCAAGGTTTTAAATTATCACTGCTGGTAATATATGCCCTTTCACTATACATTGTTATTTTTACTTTGCCCATAAAATGCTGAATAAATATATATCAAACACACACACATACAACTGATAAAATTCATATCAATCAGTTATTTTTCACTCCCATCCAAAATTTGGCTTTTGCATCTTTAAATAAAAAAACAACAGCACAGTGGTTTAGGCCACCAAAAACCTGGTAGACAAAGATGATTATGTAAGTGCTGAAATTCAGAACTGAATCAGAAATACCTATAAACTGAAGTAGAAAGCAAAATAAGAAAAGTGATAATGCATGTCAAAGCCTGGCTTAATTTTAATATACTCCATCCCTGAAATAAGAACTTTCCCAAAATGTTGGTTTTTAGGAGGACATTTCTAGGTTAAATTGAACACAAAAGAGAATTTCCCCAAAGAAATTTTCTGAGCCAAAGGAAAATCAAATTATCCTTGCAAAACAAAAGGAAAGCCCAATAATGCGTCTCCCCCTGCCCCTACTTCTTCAGATTTGCTTTAGTGTAGGTTTTCCTGCTAAGGCCATTTATTAATTCTATATTGTGGGATTTCAATGCAACCAAATCTAGACTTAACCCTTCATGTCCTAGTGGCTTAAGGAATGAGACTATTTTCAGACTCTCATGAGCTGCGAAACTGTACCCAGGATGTACTCCAACACGTGTAGACATTGTCTGCTGAGCTTCAGACTGAAGAAACAGTAACTTATTGCCAAATGGATAATATTTATGACCACTACTGAAAATGATTTCTTCTTGCATAATTTTAAGGAAGTAGCAAAAAAGGCACTATGACTGAAGTGAAACTTAAAATGATTTCTCACAATATCTCATATGTTCACATTTTTATACAAACACTTGTAAAATAGAATCTGATCTAGCTTTTAAAAAAGGTTTTAAAAGAGCTAAACATGAGGTCATAAGTTGGATATTTACTATCTTGAGAGAAAAAAGTGAAGTTAATAAAATGATGCTGGAAAATAAACTATTAATTTTGCAACTGCATTCGTGTCTAATTCCTTCTCCAAAGACTCTTAGATTGTAAAAAATTTGTACAAAAATCTAAGTAAACACTTGATGTATTGAAAACTTTCCAAAACTGGAAATAACAATGAAATATATGTAGTTGGAAGAGGAAGTGGTAGTGAGAGGCTTTTCACTTACAATGACCATTTTAGAATTCATTAGAAATTACTGTTTGTTCATAATTCAAATACATACAAGACAGTGCACCTGTCTTCAAGCGTCCAGCAGATACAACAGCAAAGAATAAATTTTGAGGGCCATGGGGCACTGGTATAAAGTGCAATTAAGACTGCTATTTATGTTGCACTCGGTAACAAGGACTGTTGAAAATGGTAGCACTAAAAAGACCTTATTTTTGCTGGGTGTGGTGGCTCATGCCTGTAATCCTAGCACTTTGGGAGGCTGAGGCGGGTGGATCACGAGGTCAGGAGTTTGAGACTAGCCTGGCCAACATGATGAAACCCTGTCTCTACTAAATAGAAAAATTATATGGGTGTGATGGCATGTGCCTGTAATCCCAGATACTCAGGAGGCTGAGGCAGGAGAATTGCTTCAACCTGGCAGGCGGAGGATGCAGTTAGCCGAGACTGCGCCACTGCACTCTAGCCTGGCGACAGGGCAAGACTCCGTTTGGGGTGGGGGGGGAAGAAGACCTTATTTTTATTTTTGAAAACTAACTTGGACAGAAACCCCTTTCACACAATATGCTAAGATTTTCCTTTTATATAATGAAACAACAATAAAAGGCAAGTGGAATTATACAAGAAGGAAAAAAATAGACTACATACTGCAAGCAGAAGTACTAGAAGAGGGTGAAGAGACATTATAGTAACCATTACCATTTGATGGTAGGTCTATTTTAATACACTCTGAACTATCTTCAATACAACAATATACACAAAATAGAATGTTGATGACAATGTTGTAATCATTCAAATTTTTGTTTTCTATTCTAGGGGGTATGTTTTGAATCCTGGGAAAAAATTAGCAGCCCAAATCTTTATTCCACCTTAAACGAATTTTTATTTCTTGTCCTTCTCTTTACTCTCCAGATCATCTTACAGAGTTCTACGATAGCCAGTCTGGTTCTTGACATCCCTCAATTCATTCTTGTAGTGCCCTTGTGTAGAGTTCAAAATCCATATATACTGTTAAGTACCAATAAATCAAGATGCCAATATGAGAGGTTCAGTTCAAAAAGGAAAGCTAAAAATAATTTTGTTGGCTGGGCGTGGAGGCTCATGCCTGTAATCCCAGTACTTTGGGAGGCCAAGTCGGGGTGGAATACCTGAGGTTAGTAGTTCAAGACCAGCCTGAAAACATGGTGAAACTTCATCTCTTCTAAAAACACAAAAATTAGCCGAGCAGGGTGGTGTCCACTTGTAATCCCAGCTACTCGGGAGTCTGAGGCTGGAGAATCGCTTGAACCTGGAAGGCGGTGGAAACAGTGAGCTGAGATTACGCCAATACACTCCAGCCTGGCGAAAAGAGGAAGACTCCGTCTCATAAAAAAAAATGTTATTAAAGTTGAAGACAACTTTGTATTACATGATCCAGCATCTATTAGTTCAAATAGTACAGCAAACAAAAAAATAGCTGATATTGATGAAACATTAAAATACGTGATATAGCTAGCAGAACTGTTGTCTCTATCAGCCCTTGAGGTAGAAAATTTACTACTAATTTCTAAATATGTGAACAATAGCTAAATTAGTAATGTTTAAATATAAAAGTTTAAAAATCACACAAAGATGCGGTGAATATCCTATACGTACACTTAAGCCAACTTAAATCAATCAGGAGGTTTAGAATGGGATTTTTTTACTTTATGAATTTTTAAGTGTATATATTTCTTTTGAATTTTTATATATTCCATACACTGATCTTTCATTAACCTACAACCCTTTTTATCTCAAGGCAAGAAAACCAAATCTTAAAAGCTTAGTGGGCCACTTATTAGCTTGTATTGGGTCCTCACACAGAGAAGAAAGGAGCCACCCTGGCACAGGATTGTGAGAAATGAAGAATTACAGGAGGGTGAGCTTAGGTTGTATTTCTAGAGGATATGGTGCTGGTGTCTTAGGATATGAGAGAGCTGGGAAACGAGGAGGTCTTTAAAAAACTCTACAACTAGCCATTTGGGCTTAGAGAGATCTCTGATATTAGGAGACTGAATATGTGTAAAAATTGAGAATTCTAAGAGTAGCTTCACCATTAACTTTTACAAATAGGTCATTCATTTTATGTTTTAAAAATAGTAATTTTACAGTGAAGTTATGCTACATATGTTTGGGTCATTAGAAGTACATGCTACATATGTTTGGGTCATTAGAAGACTAGTCAGCCAGTTTTTGAGGTGGCTGTCTTGAGTTAGTAATAGGAAGGCTCCATAAAATTTCCTTAGAACAGACAGGCAGAAGAAGTATGGAGCTGAAGAAAAAGTGATAGAGAGAACTGGTCAGGAAGGGCAAAGAAATGTTCCTTCTCAGTGTTCCAGAAGGCTCCTTTGTAGACACAGGGTCAGAACATGATTTCCTACACAAACATCAGTTCAAGCGTCCAGCAGATACAAGAGCAAAGAACAGATTTTGAGAGCCACAGGGCACTGGTATGAAGTACAATTAAGACTGTTATTTATGCTGCACTAGAAAACAAGGACTGTTGAAAATGGTAGCTTTCTTATGCCTGCTCTTTTCCCTCCCAGAACCCTCCGTGCCTTTCTACCTTCTCGTAGAAACTTTACCTGATCCTGAGAGATCTCATTTAAAAAGGAATATGCTAAGCCTGGCATGGATTGTGCAGGGAGGGAAAAGAGCAGGCACAGGCAAGTTGAAGTGATGCCTAACTGCAGAGTTCAGAGAGGAATCCTGGCTTCTGGTCCACCAAACAATCAGTAAGAGCGTTGGAAAGGAATGAAATACCAAACTAATAATTAATAACGACTGATGATGTCTGGCAAGGAGCAGCTGAAAAGCACAGCCATGGGATAAGGAAACAGCCCTCAGTGTTTACTTTTTAACTCTTCCTTTAGATGCGACTTCTGCATAAGAGGTGTGAATGAAGTCATAGAGCTGCTTGGCATTTGCAGCATTCCCCAGAATACTCGTGAGCTCCTCTTGTGACAGGGTTGCTAATTCTGCAATGCTCTTAACATGGTGCATCAAGGAGCGGCAGTTTTTGGCATTCACCCCTGGCATTTTTAACAAGAAGTCTTGGGGACCAGGATTATACTTCTCTGACTCGGGAAGGGTTTCGGAATCTGCTGTAATGGCCAATGCTGTTGCCGCATCAGGCTGTGGCTTATTTTGTTTCAGCTCCTCAAACAACTCTGCCGTTGCATGAGGAGAGGGGCACCAGAGAATCCGGAGTCTGGGGAAGTGAAGTGTAAGAAGAGTGAGTTTGGAGCTAATGTCATTGCTAGAGATCTCCTGAAACAAGGCACCTCGGGAAGTGAGAGAGAAAGGCTTGCTAGGGTCAAACTCGATCAGAAGCACGGGACGCTTGTAATAGCGGGACATGGAGATGCACTGGCTGTAGAGGCGGCCATTATTTAAAGAGCCGATTAAATCACTGATACTCTTGCGTTCCACACACATTTCTGGAGTCAGGATGTAATCGCCAACCTCTAAAGTCACGGGTTCAATGTCAATGCCCCGACGATGGATTAGAGATGGGAGCTCGCTTCGAAATTCACGCATATCCACAACTATGCTTTGCTGTGTACCATTCTGTTCCTGGCCACCTACAGAGAAAAAGGAAGTAATGTCACTGGGAAGAACCCTCAAAAAAGGAATGCAGCAAAATCTAAAAATCTATGTTTCTGTTGTTAACTCTGAGGGACGGTTACATAATTCTACATGGTAATATTTCATATAATTTCTGTATTTTCAAAAAGATTTGTTTACAAAGTAGAGGTGCTTTCCCTTAAATGAAACAGAGCTAATAAGAGAGTTAGAGTCTATCAGTAGTTTCTTATTTGCAATGATTCATAAATCCATCATATCTGCTAAAGTCTCCCCTCTGTAGTTTCCTTAAAGCCCATTACTATTGCACTGACCACATTTTGTTGGTCAATGTATTCCCAATTCCTAGAACAAAGCCTGAGAGCAGATGCTTAAAATAGCAGACACAGTAGAGGCTTAAAAATGCTCACTGAGTAAGTCTAGTGATTTAGGAACTATTGTGTTTATATCAATGAGTCCAGACATGGGGAAAGGGAAGGAGCTGGGAAAAACATAAATATCTTAGAATACAGCTTCTCACATTCTAACATGCACATAAGCCACCTTGGGTGTGTTAAAAAGTAGATTCTGAGCCAGGTGTGGTGGCTCAAACCTGTAATTCCAGCACTTTGGGAGGCTGGGGCAGGCGGATCATGACGTCAAGAGATCGAGACCATCCTGGCCAACATGGTGAAACCCCATCTCTACTAAAAATACAAAATGAGCTAGGCATCGTGGTGAGCATCTGTAGTCCTAGCTACTTGGGAGGCTGAGGCAGGAGAATAGGTTGAACCTGGGAGGCGGAGGTTGCAGCAAGACGATATTGGGCCACAGCACTTTAGCCTGTTGACAGAGTGAGACTCTGTCTCGAAAAAAAACAAAAGAGCAGATTCTGGCTAGGTACGGTGGTTCACGCCTGTAATCCCAGCATTTTGGGAAGCCAAGGTGGGCATATCACCTGAGGTCAGGAGTTCGAGACTAGCTGGGCCAACATGGTGAAACCTCATCTCTACTAAAAATGCAAACATTAGTCAGGAGTAGTGGTGTGTACCTGTAATCCCAGCTACCTGGGAGGCTGAGGTGGGAGAATCATTCCAACCCCAGGAGGTGGAGGTTGCAGTAAGCTGAGATTACACTCCAGCTTGGACAACAAGAGTGTAACTCTGTCTCAAAAAAAAAAAAAAAAAAAACAAAGAAAAAAAACAAAGCAGACTCTGTATTTAGTAGGTCTGAGCTAAGGGGTCTAAGAGTCTGCATCTATAACAAAATCCCCCGTGATGCTAATGCTGCTGCTTTAAGGATCACACTTCTAAGTATCAAGGGCTGCTCTAGGCAGAATAATGTACCCTCCAAAGATGTCCACATTCTTGTCCCCACAACCTATAAATACAGGCATGTGCTGTACAATAACATTTTATGACAAAGTGCATGTAAGTCAGTGATCCCGTGAGATCACAATACTGTATTTTTATCATACCTTCCTATGTTTAGATGTGCTTAGATACACAAATACTTACCACTGTGTTACAGTTGCCTAGAGTATTCAGTACAGTCACATGCAATGCAGGTTTGTGGCCCAGGAGCCGTAGGCCACACCACATAGCCCAGCTGTAGTGTCTAGATCGTCTAGCTTTGTGTAAGTACGTTCTGTGATATTCACGTAATGATGAAATCGCCTAATGACACATTTCTCAGGATGTATCTCTGTTAAGCATTTTGAGATTGGGAGATTATCTGGGTTATCTAGGTAGGCTGAAGGGTTCTGAGAAGTGAAGATGGAGGTAGGATGATCAGAGAACAGAGGATGCTATGCTACTGGCTTTGAAGACGGAAGAAGCGGCTATGAGCTAAGGAATTCCGATGGCCTCTAGAGACTGGAAAAGGCCAGGAAAGGGATTCTCCCCTAGAGCCTCCAGGAGAAATGCAGCCATGCCAACATCTTGATTTTAGCCCCATGAAAGCCATCTGGACTTTGAACCTGCAGAACTGTAACATAATGAAATGTGTGCTGTTTTGAGCCATTAAGTCTATGGTAATTCAGTATAGCAGCCATAGGCAACTAATATGAAGGTGTGGAGAACTGATCTCTAAGGACAGAATTCTACGAATAGCTCTCTGCGATCCCCATATACTCCAATTTATCTTCCTTCATATTGCCTTACATTCTGTAGTTCTTCATGAAATGCCAACAACCTGGTTGATTTTCCAAAGAATTTTCTCTGAACAAGACACAGAGGCTCTGAGGCACTGTTTCCCAAAGTATGGTCCAAAAACCACTTCCATCAGAAGCCCCCAAGCTGCTGGCTCCATTTCATATCCATTGAGTCAGAATTTCTATGAACTGAGGGCTGTGATCTACAGTTTTTTTCTTTTAGATGTTGTTTTACTCTTGTTGCCCAGTCTGGAGTGCAATGGCCTGATCTCAGCTCACTGCAACCTCCGCCTCCTGGGTTCAAGCGATTCTCCTGCCTCAGCCTTGAGAGTAGCTGGGATTACTGGCATGCACCACCATGCCCAGCTAATTTTTTGTATTTTTAGTGGAGACGGGGTTTCTCCATGTTGGTCAGGTTAGTCTCGAACTCCCGACCTCAGATGATCCGCCCGCCTCAGCCTCCCAAAGTGCTGCAATTACAGGCATGAGCCACTGCACCTGGACAAATCTAAAGTTTTAACAAGCATCCAAGTTTATTCTAAAGTCTACTAAATTCTAATACCCAGCTGGGTGCGGTGGCTCATGCCTGTAATCCCAGCACTTTGGGAGGCCGAGGTGGGTGGATCATGAGGTCAAGAGATCAAGACCATCCTGGCCAACATGGTGAAACCCCATCTCTACTAAAAATACAAAAATTGGCCGGGTGCAGTGGCTCACGCCTGTAATTCCAGCTACTCAGGAGGCTGAGGCAAGAGAACTGCCTGAACCCAGGAGGCGGAGGTTGCAGTGAGCTGAGTTAGCACCATTGCACTCCAGCCTGGGTAACAAGAGCGAAACTCCGTCTCAAAAAAAAAACAAAAAACAAAAAAACAAAAATTAGCTGGGCATGGTGGCACGCACCTGAGGTCCCAGCTACTCAGGAAGCTAAGGCAGAAGAATCGCTTGAACCCAGTAGGCAGAGATTGCAGTGAGCCGAGATTGCGCCACTGCACTCCAGCCTGGCGACAGAGCAAGACTCCATCTCAAAAAAAAAAAAAAATTCTAACACTCACTGCTCTAAATGTACTTGGCCTTACCAAAGTTTACACCAACTCAATCGTATTGTTTTTCTCATGCCACCTGGCTGAAATCAGCTGCTGCTGAAATTTGGGGAATGGTAAAATGGTGACTTCTGGATCACAGTGCACTTGGAATTCAGCAGGTCTTGTAGCATGCCACAGTCTGGACACTGCACAGCAGTGCAGCCAGACACTGGGGATCTGGGGAGCTACCAAGAAGAAATGAATACGGAGGGAAACGGGGAGTGTACGCACCCCAAACAACTCCCACCTAGGTATGCACCTAAGGGGAAAGGAGAAACTTCCTTCAAGTACATTCAGTTAAATTAACTTTTTTTTTCTTGAGATGGAGTTTCGCTCTTGTCACCCAGGCTGGAGTGCAATGGCACGATCTCAGATCACCGCAACCTCTGCTTCCTGGGTTCAAGTGATTCTCTTGCCTCAGTCTCCCAAGTAGCTGGGATTACAGGCATGTGCCACCACACCCGGCTAATTTTGAACTTTTAATAGAGATGGGGTTTCTCCATGTTGGTCAGGCTGGTCTCAAACTTTCAACTTCAGGTGATCTGCCCACCTCAGCCTCTCAAAGTGCTGGGATTACATGCATGAGCCACTGAGCCCAGCCTAAACTGGCTTTTTAGGTTGAGATAAGAACCTAATCACCATTTACCAAAGTTTATTTGCAAAGTACATTCTGAGTCTCAACCAACCAAATGCAAAGGCAATGCTGCATGCACCATAACCCATTCTAAGCTGGGATGCTTGAACTCAACCTCACATGATTTGCAGATGACACAGTGCCTTCAGTATGGGGACACATGGTTAGCGAATGGCAGAGCTGAGGTTAGAGTGGGGAAGTACACATCCTCTCCTTGTCTGACCCCCATTTTTAAGAGTTTGTTGATACAGACCAAGCCTTAGCAGACCAACTCTGGAACCTCACAGCTCCCTTTGTAGGCAATGGAGGTATAGAACTCACCAGCTTTCCGAGTGTCAGTGGAAGCATTTGCAGATGCTATGCCTCTTACTAGGTCTAGGTTTGTTTCATCTCTGCCTTCTCTTTCTTCAGGGACAACCATGCTTGCTTTTTCCCTGTGGAAGAAAACATTGTCAACACTTTTGAAACTAATTTCAAAATTCTAGGTATTATCTTTTGTAAATTCTAGCATTGAAAATGATCTACATGGCGATGGCAGTAAGAGGAAAAAAAAGCAAGGAATATATTAGAAGTAAATATGCCAAGACAAGTGATGGGTAAAGGACGTAGAAAAAGTTAAGGTAAAAAGTACCTTAATTGGGTACTAATTATTGATTTTCCAGAGGAAAAAAAGCAGTTGTTTATTTTGATTTTCTATGCAAATATTTAAGAAACAATATAAGCATGTCAAATAAAATGTCACATGTAAAAAAATGCCCCCAAGAGATTCCTGAGACCATAAGGTTAAAGTGTTATTGATGTTAAAAAGTAAATCATTTATATTCAAACAGTTTCAGGGTAATCATAAATAGGAATGTTTAAAAATCATTAAGACACTAAAAACACATATATGACAGAATTTTGATTTCGAAAATTCCAGGTGGGAGGTCCCATTAAATATCCTGAGTTTTAAAGAAAAATCAAGATCAAGATTTTGAAATTGATAAAAGAAATCAAATTTCTATCAGAGATTAAAATTAAAAATCAATAGCTCAGGTTATGCCTTGGAAGCAGCATTCATTACTTGTTTATGCGTTTACTGAAAAACATTTATGGAGTGTTCCTGCATGGTGCTCTAGGTCCTTTGGATATAATTGTGATCACACAAGAATTCCTGTCTTTAAGACGGCTCATATCTTATATATGGTAGATCTAGAGGACAGTACAATCAGAAGATTCACAATTTGGAACCACATCATGACAAGATCCTCAATAATCACAGAAAGAGTAAGCCAGGTTTGTGGTAGCCTTGTTTTTCCAAACTGGTAAGGTATGTTATAATTAATTTTGCCAGGTATGATAGAAAAGATGTATAAGCTGAGTCTCTTCCCTCCTGGGGTTGGCAAGTGAGATGAGGAAACAAAGCAAACATGAGAAAAAAACAAAAGACTGGAGCTGAGGAACTGCAATAAAAGAGACAAAGGTGAGGGGAACAGAAGAGGAACCATCAATGTTAATTAATTTCAACAAGGGTTAAAACAACCAAGATTTTCCCATTGATAAAATCTGGCTGTTTCTGCACCCAAATCTCATCTTGAATTAATAGTTCCCATAACTCCCATGTGTCCTGGAAGGGACCTGGTGGGAAGTGATTGAATCATGGGGGTGGTTTCCCCCAATGCTATTCTCAGGATAGAGAGTGAGTTCTGAGATGTGATGGTTTTGTAAGTGTCTGGCATTTCTCCTGCTGCACTCATTCTCTCCTGCTGCCATGTGAAGAAAGACAGTTTGCTTCACCTTCTGCTACGACTGTAAGTTTCCTGAGGCCTCCCCAGCCATGTGAAACTTGTGAGTCAATTAAACCTCTTTTCTTTGCAAATTACCCAGTCTGGGGTATTTCTTCATAGCAGTGTGAAAATCGACTAATATACCCATTAGAGGAAATGAAATCAGATGGTCCAATTCTTTAACCACTCTGGATAAATATTTTAGAGCAGGGCATCACTAAAAGATACTACTAAAGAAATAATAATTTTAAATTTTATACTATTTCCAACAACCTATAAATGTAAAGTTATTATTAGTACAACATTTTATAAGTGGATCGCAAGGGGGCAGGCAATGGTTCCAGTTCCATGTTTTCTGTCATTATTCTCAATACCAGACTTAAGTGCTACCTGCTGAAAAGCCCTTTGCAATGGTAGTGGCTCTGGCTGCCACTCATTACCGCTCCATTCTGTCTACTGCACTTCCGTTAGGACAAAGCGCAAACCATTGAAAACAGTTATTGCTCTTACATTTTTATTTAACATTCATTTAGTATTATTATGTTCACTCTGTCAAATGACACCATATTTCTACTTGTTACACTGGCTACGCTATATATCACACATAGGATCATCCCAATTTCCTAATGAATTTGTAATCTGTATAATCTTAGTGGGTTAAAGATTCTGGTTGCAAAGTGTGTGGATCTGAAACCATTTACTGGCCACGTGATCTTAGGTAAGTAATTTCATGGCTCTGTGCTTCAATTTCTTTATCTGTAAAATGAGGATAATAATTTTAAAACGTATCTCAAAAGACTGTTAGAGGATTACATAATATATGCAAGGCACTCAGAACCATGCAGGCACCAGTAAGCAGTACATAAATGTGAGGTATTATTATTACTGTTCTTTCTTATAATGTGGTAATCTCATTGTCTAATTATCCATGATTATACTAAAATACTGAAGATTTGCTTTCAAATAATTCCACAATTGTTTCAATTAATAGTTATAGAAAACAGCAGCTAGTTTACTACTGAATGTTATAACTTAACTACAAGTCAAATCTGAGAAAAAATATTTTCCAGAGATGAAACCTGGACTATGAAGCAGATAAGCCTTCCTAACTAGTAATTCAATTTAGCAGAAATTTACCATAATTATAAACAGCCTCTTGCTTCCAACATGCGGCATAATTATCCAAGTTCCCCTATGTGACAGACAGAAAATAGTAATTAAAAAATTCAGATTCCTATTTCTGCTTAATCTAAAGCACCAAGCTTTCCTATGTTTGCTTTAGTGTCTTCAATGATATTTTTATTAAAATGTATTTCATGTTAATTTTTAAACAAATTGAGATGGGTTCTCACATGTTGTCCAAGCTGGTCTTGAGCTCCTGGGCTCAAGTGATCCTCTCGCCTTGGCCTTCCAAGGTGCTGGGATTACAGATGTGAGCTACTGAGCCCAGTCTTCAATGGTATCTGAATAGCTCGTACAACCTAATCCTATGCCAGCATAGGAAAGTGGCACTGAGCTAGAAGTCTCTTCCAATGAGTATTTACTTAAGCCCTCATGCTAGCCCATTTTGTGATCATATTGTCAAACTGCAAAATTTCAAATAATTTTACCCCTTTCTTTGAAAAGCAGTGACCTCCTCAAAGCTATGTATGCTGAGGATGTTATTATTGATAGTTAGCAGCATAACCTAACAGATCTTTAATCCAGCTAAACAATCCTCTCACTGTCAGTTCACCTGATTTGTTCCTTTCTGATTATTTTAAAGAGTTGCAACTGCTATTGTTCTTACAACATCACCCATGGAGGTCTTGGTAAAAGCACACTGTCTTATTTTCACATTAAATTTTCTCTAAGCATAGACATGGCACAAATGTTCTTTGAACAATGCACCTCAAATATGTTTTTGCTTTGCAAAAGAAGCACCTCTCAAATTTCCCAAGTTTCCTGGGAAAGTAAGTGTCTTAACATTCTTTTTTTTGTTGTTGTTGAGACTGAGTTTCACTCTTGTTGCCCAGACTGGAGTTTAATGGCGTGATCTTGGCTCACCACAACCTCTGCCTCAAGTGATTCTCCTGCCTCAGCCTCCCGAGTAGCTGGCATTACAGGCATGCGCCACCATGCCTGGCTAATTTTGTATTTTTAGCAGAGATGGGGTTGTTCCATGTTGGACAGGCTTGTCTTGAACTACCAATCTCAGGTGATCCTCCTGCCTGGGCCTCCCAAAGTGCTGGGATTATAGGTGTGAGCCACGGGGCCCAGCCATATCTTAAGATTCTAAATAGTGCAACCATCTGATTGACTTCTGGGTAAAATGGGAAAATCTTATTTATGACAAGTAGACAATCACCACTGAAAGCATTAAAAAAATTATGCCAGATAATAGATAAAATTATGTTAAAACCTGGTGCAGAAATTATTGTATGGATTGAAATGTGGGAGAGAGTCCATGTTCCGGGTTCTGCTGAGGTTTTCCAGTATGTATAAGGCTAATCCACATCTGGTCACTGAGCTCTCTGATGTGTGGAAGCATGTGCATACATCAGGAATGGCATGGGATCCAGTATCTTACTACTGTCTACTAAAAGTGCTCTTTTCTAGATTATATTCCCTGATGTACTGGAGAAGAGACAGCTGCATGAAGACAGGTGAAGCATGAAACTCACCTACTCAGGTGATGTCTTCCTCCCATTCTATCAGGCTCTCTGGCTCTAATACTGTGCAGATTAATTCAGCAGGCCTGGGCTGCTCAAACTCTTCATGTTTCCAAGAAAGGCTTCTCTGCTCAACACTGGCTCTTGGCCAGCTCCTGGGAGATGAGCTCTGAGCCCATGGAGTATTCTGCGTGATAAGAGGGTTTTTATATGCCTGAGGCCTTGAACCACAAGGTGCCAGTTGGATCAGATAGTTCATGCTGATGATGTGATTTATGGTAAATGTCTGTTGTTGCTTTGGGGGCTGGAGTCTGAGGAGCTGAAGCCAGTCATTGAGGTATCCTGTGTCTATGTGACTCAGCTCCAGCAAAACTTGGGAGCTCAGGTGAGTTTCCCTGTTGACAACACTTTGCATGTGTGGTCACACACTGTCGCTGGGAGGATTAAGTACATTCATGTGACTCTACTGGGAGAGGATACCTGGAACCTTAGGCCTGGTTTTTCCTGGATTTTGCCACATGTTCCCTTTCTCTTTGCTGATTTTAATCTGTATTCTTTTTAAAAAATTTTTTTTGAGACAGGTCTCACTCTGTTGCCCAGGCTGGAGTGCAGTGGCGTGATCTCAGTTCATGGCAACTTCCACCTCCTGGGATTTGAGTGATTCTCCCACCACAGCCTCCTGAGTAGCTGGGATTACAGGCATGCGCCCCCACTCCTGGCTGAGTTTTGCATTTTTCAGGGTTTCACCATGTTGGCCATGCTGGTCTTAAACTCCTGACCTCAAGTGATCTGCCCGCCTTGGCCTCCCAAAAGTGCTGGGATTACAGGCATGAGCCACTGCATCCAGCCTTAATCTGTATCCTTTTGCTGGAAGAAACTGCACTGCAAGTGTAACAGCTTTTCTGACTCCTGTGAGTTCCAGCGAATCATCGAGCCTGAGGATGATCTTGGGGACCCCTGACATGAACACCAAAAACACAATCTGAATAGTTTAGCTCTGTGCACTCATTTCTATCTAGGTGACAATTATTTTAATTAGCAAAAACTTGGGCAAAGGCTGTTTCAAAAAGAGTGAAGGAATGGTCAGGAGGTACTGGCCCACATCTAGTATCACTAATTCTTTGATTTTATCTCCCAAATATCTCTCAAATCTGTCCTTTTTCCTCCATTACCCTAATCTTGGCTACCACCTTTTCTCATCAGATGACTGCACTAGCATTCTGACTGGTTTCCACACTTACTCACTTAGGCCTGGTTTTTCCTGGATTTTGCCACATGTTCCCTTTCTCTTTGCTGATTTTAATCTGTATTCTTTTTTAAAATTTTTTTTTGAGACAGGTCTCACTCTGTTGCCCAGGCTGGAGTGCATTCCTCAGCTGATGCCAGAGAGGGCCTTTACAAACATGCTCGTCACCTTCCTACTTAGAACGCTTCAGTGCAGTCTTACTGCCCGTGAAGTCCTAAATCCTTCACAGGGCCCCTTGTACCTCTGAGCCTTCATACACACCTTTGTTCAACATAACCCCCTTCCCACCCCATCTGCCCAGTATCAGCTTGAATATCACTTCCTCAGGGAAGCGGCTCCCGATCAGCTTGTGGTCTGGGTGAGGTCTTTGATGCACTCTCCCACTACACCCTCTTCTTTTAGCTTTGCAGCCAGTGGCACTCTGTATACTTAAACTTATTACAATATTTATAATCATTTAATGTCTGTATTTTCCACTCAAGGGAATGTTCCAGGAGGCCAGAGGCTTTTTCTGCATCCCTTATAACCTCAGCACTTTAATATTAGCACAGGACCTGGCACATACCAGATACTTAATAAACATATTTACTGTTTGAGCCTCAGGGAGTGAAGGTCTAGAAGACAGAGAGTAAGACAGAGAAGAGCAAAGAGCCCTGCAACAAGAAAAGGTGGCTGGTACAATGCCTGGTCTGTTACAACCCAATTTCCGAACTATGTTTTTGAAAAATATATACACCCAGGTTTACGACATAAACAATCCCACAGAGCACACTAGTAGAAAACGGATTTTCACAGGCTGAGAGGAATGAGCAATATTTGTATGACTAGTAGCTGGATGAATCCATGGCCAAGGCACGTCGCCTTTCGAGAGGATGCGAAAGGAAACAGGGACTGCCCATGTACAATGCTGACCCCCATCATGGGACTCCATGCAACTGATTCAGCAAATACTGCCATTTCCAAGAATTCTTCTCCTGGGCTAACCGGGTTATGCGTATATTTTGCACGTACGCTGCGAACCCGCAGTCAGCACTGTAGAATGGTTGTCCATTTTGAAATTTGGCCTAGGGTCCTGGCAGGTTGACTACTGCTAAAAATAATTCTGTGCCAGTGTCCAAGGCTTGGAAGATTGGTCTGGCCCAGCCACACTCAGTCCAGGCCATGGTCTCTGCTGGTCCAGCTTTCTCTGGCTCAGCTCAGTGATACCCCATCCAGCCCTCGCCCTGGTTTCTGAGGCTCTTAAAGATCATCTGGCCTATCTTCCCATACCAGGCTGCAATGTCCTTGACAATACCCCTGGTGGGCGGTTATCAGATTTCATGAATTCCTTCAGGGCAACAGGCAGCCATGCAGGTTATGAGTATCTCAACATTTTCCTTTCGTAAAATGGAAAGGAATTTAATACTTAGATTTGGAATAGTACCAGATACCCATTCTTAAAAACATTCACATGTGTATGTCCAGACAAACAACACACTTTCTAAGAAATTTTCCCAGAGTGATTCTATTGACGGTGACTATAACTGGCTGTGTTGTAAAAGCATTTCCCAATCAACGTAAAGCAGCCACCCACACGTGGACAATGGAAATTTTACAAGGAGAAAAAAAATCATTCAAAGGAGGGGAGAATCTTGTGCATAAGGCAGGGAGGAGGGAGATTTACTAACATATTCTTTTTAGAAAAGCAGTATTTTAGCTTTATTTCTGGTGTTTTATAAACAGAAAAACAGTTGTCTTTGTTACATTTCTAATATTCTATTAATCAAACCACTGAAAAACAACTGAAGATGAAGGAGGAAGGGGAAGAGAAAAAGGAAGCATGTGCCGAGGTATACTCTGGAGGACAAATGAGACTGCTCATTTATCTCACCGTGATCCTCTCCAACTTCTTCCCCGCCCCATCCTTCCTGAGCAGGGCTAGCCGACATTCCCTTGTCCAGAGAAGCCTCCAGACCCCAAAAGGTTTCCAATCTAGTTTTGGCTTTCATACTGATTTTCTGTGTATTACCTTATGAGTTTCTCAAAAGCTTCCTTTTCTTTCCGCAAAGCAGTGAGATAGCGTTGTTCCTCAGTTGAACCTCCGTATATAAGAAAGTAAACCCTGCGTGTTAAGACAGAACTTTTAGGTTGGAAAAACAGCCTTTTTAATCCCTGAAAGGAACAGCAGAACATTTGAAATCAGCAACCTAGTGTTCAAATAATAAATATTTGACTAAGAATCAAAGGTTTCATATTATCACACACTAGCTCAAATTAAGCTGCCTAAACCCCACCTGTTAAAGGTTTTGTTACCACACAGGGCTTTTTTTTTTTTTCGTTTATCAAAAGGAAGAAAAGAGTTTAGGTAAACACTGAAATATAACTACAGGGATAGAATAATTCTTTTCTCATAACTATAAACAAATAAAAAAAACCTCACAAATCTTAGAGGCTTCTCCAGTTCTTTCTTTGCACCTCTGCCAAACAATCATTTAAAAAGTTGGATAGTAGTTATGAAAAACAGCTTATGAAAATGTTTTTTATTCATGTCTTAGCAGAATAAAGCCATCATACATTTTATAGAAATACATGGGCACAGAAGACATAGGGATTATATCAGGCATCTCAAAGAATAACTGGATCTATTTTCTCTTAGAAAAGGCCTGCTTTTTAGGCTGGGCACAGTGGCTCGAACCCGTAATCCTAGCAGTTTGGGAGGCTGAAGTGGGAGGATCACTTGAGCTCAGAAGATCAGCCTGGGTAATATAGTGAGACCCCATCTCTACAAAAAAAAAATTAGTTGAGTATGGTGGCACATGCCTGTAGTCCCAGCCACTTGGGGCTAATGTGGGAGGATCACTTGAGTCGGGGAAAGGGGGAGGTGCTGAGGCTGCAGTGAGCCCTGATTGTGCCATTGCACTCCAGTCTGGGCAACAGGGCAAGACTCTGCCTCAAATTTAAAGAAGTTAAAAAAAAAAGGCCTGCTTTTCCATCTTGCCTCTTGCTAAGAGAGCTGAATTAAGCACCTCGTCTGTCCATTTGCTTCACCTTCAATCAAAGTTATTTTCCTTTTTGAGCCTTGGTTATTTTTTAGCTGTTATCTTCCTAGATGATAATTCTTTGAAGTGTAAACAGAGAAAAGATCTTTGGGTAATGAGTCAAAAGGCTCAGCTCTCCCACGGATGTGCCATGTGGCCAAGACCAAGTCAGTCACCATTTCTGGGCCTCAGTTTCCCATTGATAGAATGAGTGGTTGAACTCCCAGGTCCCTTCTGATGCTCACATTTTGTTCCCAAGTATCACACTATTCTGTTCTCAGGCAAGAAAGAAGCTTGGTGTACATAAGCTATCTACAAAGTTGATCAACAGCAAAGTACAAAAAATTTACCAGCCTGTAATTATTTTACCAGCCTCATCTAATCTCTTCATCCTGCATTATTTCTGATCCAGCTCCTCCATTCATCTGGACTCTGAAAGGCTGTGTTAGTTAAAATGCTAGGGGTAGGTTTCTTTTGGCTCCGTTTTTGGTTCAGACTGAGTTCAGGATATTAATTTTGCTGTTTATTTCCCCTCAGATAATTGGAAAGCCAGACACTATCTTCTTTGGGAGGCATCACTTTCTCATCTGATATTCTATAGATGTTTCATCTGGTATTTCTTGAAACTCAAGAAAACCTGGTACGGTAATTCCCCCACCACTTTAGTTTTATGTGGATGTAATTTAGAGTCGTTTCTTAAAATTTATAAGAAAGACATTTTAGAAGATTAAAATTACTTAGCCAAGTCACAGTTAGATTAACTTTTGGTAGAAATTAGAATATTATGCATTTCCTAGACTTTTTCAGATACAGCACCCCATAAACTTCAAACCAATGCCTAAAGAATAAAGAACAGAACGCACAGCAACACATACAAGCCCTTGGTTTGTAGTTCTGCTGTAACACTTGGCATCCTTCCTATCCAACTTCCCGGATTCATCAGGAAGCAAAGTAAGGTTTCATAAATATAACCAGCATCATAACAAATATTAAAGATAAGAAAACTAACATGCAACTGGTATAGTTTCTGGGTTAAATCCTAAAGAACAGTACAATTGCATGCTCTGATTCTTTATAACTTGCCTCAGAGGTTTCCCAGGCCTGCTTGCCCTGTAAATTTCAAGCTGACGAACAAAGGTTAACTCTGCGTCATAAAGAACCACGTATCTTGGCTCCACTTCATGGAGTACCCTTGTCAGAGCATAGGGGTCGCTACAACCCAGAAGTGGATGGATGATAGTGAGAGGTTCTTTCAGGATTCCATACACAGCATCTGATGACAAATTTACATCAAATTCTTCATGCTTAATTTCTGCCAGGCAGCTTTCTGGGCTACTCCTTATTTCTTGACGATATCCTTCCTCGACATCTCCTTCCCCTTCCAGTTCTTCAGATTTTCCTACCATTTGAGTTAAGGTCAACTTTCGTTTTTTCTTTTTGAGGGTCCTTTGTTTGGTAGAAGCCCGTTCTTTGTTTTGGGGGTCTTTGGGTCTTCTGTGAGATTTCATAATTCTGTTCGAACTGTCTTCCTTCCTTAATTTCATCCAGACTTCTTCAGCTGTGCTGTCTTTTTCGAAGGTTTTCCTGTAGAGCCTCAGTAAGAAGGCCTCCACTCCAAGAGTGAGATAGTCTCTCAGCTGGGAACATGTTCGGTCATCACTTGCACAAATCAGTACTTGACCTGAAAACAGAAAACAACATTATGTTACTATTACCTCGTGTGTCCTCCTAGTTTCCCTGTGTCCCCATATTCCTTCACCTGAAGGGAAGACATCTTACCCCATGGTATTAAAGATCCACAATCTACAATCTATTTAAAAAGGGTCTTAGGTATTGATCAAATGCTTTCTCCTCTCTGGCAAGATGACTTAAATCTTTTGAGTAAAGTTGAAGCCAGACTATTGAATCTTTTGAAAGGAGAACTGTGGTATAATGGTGGCTTTAAAGAAGTTCTTTTAAATTAATATATTCTTTTCCAGATGATCTTTTATGTGCCTACATTAATTCCAAATGGATTTTTCTTTTGTGAATTGTCTTAGTCTCCTTGGCCAGGTTAGACAATGTCTTCAGTTTGTATCAGCTCATTACATCCTAAAGTGATAGAGAGTTGAGGCTTCTTTGGAAAGATACTTGGCTGAGGATATAAAACAGGAGACCCATTAGTTTATTCATCGGGGATTCCAGATTTAAAGCTTGGCGAATATGTGTAGAGATTAACTCAATCTTTAAATAGAAGTCCTAAGAACCCAACTACTGAGAAAACCTGCTTTCATGAATGTACAATGATTCAACCTGGAGAAAATTAAATCGAATGAACAGAAATGAGGTTGCCACTAGGATCTCAGTGTTCATTTCCCATTTATTTGTCTATATTTTATACACAAAATAGCAAGTTATTGTTAAAGAGCTAACTAATTAAATCAGGACTCATTTGATAGATTTTGAAAGCAAATGTTTTCATCTCCTTTTTTCCTACCTGGGCCACCAAGAGCTTCACTCTCCTTATTTTCTGCCTCAATTTCTTTCAGTACTTCAGTCAGTGCCTCCCACTTTGGGTTGCTTTCTAGGACCAGTTCCTTTTTTGTTTCTGTAGAAAAATAAAAATATCTCATTCTATGTGCTAATATTTACCCATAAAGTCTTCCAAAGGCTTTAAAACAACAGATAACACGAGCATCAGTCCATACGCCTGTTTCTTTAAGCTTCCTTTATACTGTCAGATGGAATCTGCTTTCCAGTAAAACATCTACTTAAGGTGAAAATGAAAGATACTTGAAACCATTAATATGGGTTTCAAAATGCCTTTGTAGAAGGTTATATGCATGTCACTAATGAGAGACCTCTGTATTAGTAGTTTCTGTGACACCATATATAAGCAGCTATACAAAATAAAGGCATCGGAACAGAATGACAGTATTTATTATTTCTAAAATCCCCATGACCTTCATAATCCTGGACATGGATAAAAGTAGACAATTAAATTTTTTGTTTCTATAAGTGTTCAAACAGTAACACATCAATAATATATTCAATTACGTTTTCTTTAAAAAAATTGTTTATTTTTTGAAACTAAGTTTCACTCTTGCTACCTAGGCTGGAGGCAATGGCACGATCTTGGCTCATTGCAACCTCCACCTCCTGGGTTCAAGCGATTCTCCTGCCTCAGCCTCCCAAGTAGTTGGGATTATAGGCATGTGCCCTACTCCTGCCTAATTTTCTATTTTTAGTAGAGACGGGGTTTTACCATGTTGGTCAGGCTGGTCTGGAACTCCTGACCTCATGTGATCCAGCCGCCTCAGCCTCCCAAAGTGCTGGGATTACAGGCATGAACCACTGCACCCAGCCTCAATTAAGTTTTAAAACAGACCTTTAAATTAGGCAGAAAGCAGGCATAAACCCTATCCCATGCCTTAAAAAAACTAGTGATATTTATGATACCACTAGATAGATGCTAGAATAAAACCCATATTTGCCTGGTTCTCTAGTACATTTATGATGCTTAACAATTTAAAAAGATATTAAAAATATTCCACCCTGACTTTATTTTTGAGACATAGTCTTACTCTGTCACCTAGGCTGGAGTGCAGTGGTGTGATCATATCTTGGTGCAACCTTGAACTCTTGGGCTCAAGGGATCCTCCGCCTTAGCCCCTGACGTAGCTAGGATGATAAGTGCACATCACCTTGCTGGGCTCATTTAAAAAAAAAATTTTTTTTTTTTTTTTTGAGACAAAGAGTCATTCTGTTGCCCGGGCTGGAGTGCAGTGGCGTGATCTCGGCTCACAGCAACTTTTGCCTCCTAGGTTCAAGTGATTCTTCTGCCTCAGCCTCCTTAGTAGCTGGGATTACAGGCACCCGCCACCACACCCGACCAATTTTTATTTTTAGTACAGACCAGGTTTTACCATGTCAGGCTGGTCTCAAACTCCTGACCTCAGGTGATGGACCCACTTCAGCCTCCCACAGTGCTGGGATTGCAGGCGTGATCCACCATGCCTGTCCTCAAAAAGTTTTTGTAGAGATGGAGTCTTGCTTTGTTGCCCAGGCTGGACTTGAACTTCTGGGCTCAAGCAATCCTCCTGCCTCGGCCTCCCAAAGTGCTGGGATAATAGGTGTATGCAAGCATGCCCCAACCTCATTCTGACTCAAAAATAATAATTACTTAGAAGTTAAAAAAAAAACAATATATAGTTCTTTATGTAGCATGCTTTTGATCAGTATTTGGCATTTGCTATTTGGAACCCCTGGGCAATAGATTCCGAAACTTTCCACGCTGTATACTTTTGACATAACTTACACGTTACATATAACAAACATACATACATTTACCATAAAGGAACACACTTTTCACATGGCCAAAGGAGACTTTAAATTGATAAGCATTTCCACACCAAATACTTAAATAAAAAACACATTTAAAGACTTCACAAGATACCTTGGCCTTCTTTAACTTCCATTTTTTCAGATATTTTGCCTTTCTTACTGATTTTGGCATCTGGAAGATGATAAACCCGTGCTCGAGCATTTACAAACATTGACGTGCTGGAGTCAAGAAACAGCCAACCTAACATGAAAAGGTAAAAAAAAAAGGTGCCTTCAATTTATGGTTAAAACAGTCTGACAGTCACATGACCTACATATGTAACTGGCTGCCATCCTGTTTTTCTACCAATCACGCCTCCTCCCACTATTGTGATCTCTGTCACTGTTCAGCTAGAGCAGTGGTGGTTTTCTATGTGTAGTCCATGAACTCCTGGGGGTCCCCAAGATGTTTGCAGGGGGTCTGTGATGTCAAAACTTTTCTCATGATAATACTATGACGTTATGTGACTTTTTTCACTGTGTTGACATTTCTGGTGATGGTGTAAAAGCAATGCCGGGTAATATTGCTGGTGCCTTGGTGTGAACCAATGCAGTGCCAGGAAAATGTACCGGCAGCCAATGCATTCTTTACTGTCGTGCTTCTACAGTTCATTACTTAGGAATGTCCCTAAAGGAGCATACAAATTATTAACTGTACTAAATCTTGACTCCAGGGGTCCATGAACCACACTCTGAAAACCACTGGTCTAGTCAAACACTGACAGAGGCCACAATAGTGGTAGGAAAACAAGATGGTGGCCAGCTGTATATGTCTATTTCCCTACAAATCTCTTCTGCTCTTTAGTCTTTGACATTCTAGCTGATGAAACCCCATGCTCCCTTGCTTTTGCTTTGAGGAAAATGAATTTTAAGTTCTTAACAACTATACTTCCAGAACACAACCTATTTCTAAGTTGAGGACTGCCTGTACTACACACAGTCTTTTCTAGAAATAAAATTGCCCAGAACGGATATGAATATTTATTATTATACAGAACAGAAGTTAAGTAGGCGGAAACATTAGCTATCAATAAAACCTACATCCTTGTGCTATGAACATAAAACATAATTTGAAATCTCAGTATAACATATAGTTGAATATAGCACTTTTCACACCTGATTCCCCCAAAACCTAACACTTCATTCAAATCAGCTCTTAGAGTATTATTAGTATTTTAATCTCCCACCTGAATTCTGACCAAAAGCCTTTTCCGTTGCTCTCAGAGATTCCAGAAGATTAAGAAATGTGACACAATCATACTGAGAGAGATATTGCAGCAAAGTTCGTAATATCTTCAAATCCTGAACTAAGGATTTAGTCTTGGCTCCAAGCTGGTGCCACAGAGGATCCAGATAATGGCGAATTGTCTAAAATAAGAATAAAATTTTGCATTGCTAAAATATGTTCAGTATAGTTCTTCTTTTTTTTTTTTTTTGAGACGGAGTTTCGCTCTGGTTACCAAGGCTGGAGTGCAATGGTGCGATCTTGGCTCACCTCAGCCTCCGCCTCCTGGGTTCAGGCAATTCTCCTGCCTCATCCTCCTGAGTAGCTGGGATTATAGGCACGCGCCACCATGCCCAGCTAATTTTTTTTTGTATTTTTAGTAGAGACGGGGTTTCAACATGTTGACCAGGATGGTCTTGATCTCTTGACCTCGTGATCCACCTGCCTCGGCCTCCCAAAGTGCTGGGATTACACAGTATAGTTATTCTTAATACAAATCATACTTTCAAAAGGATTATTTCCTATATATCTAAAAATGTCAAAAATGGTAAATTTTATGCCATATATATTTTACCGCAATAAAAAAACCCAAACATTATTCAAGGAAATGGCTAGAACATTTCAATTAATAAAATTCTAATAATAATGTTTAAATTTTCAAATATAGAAGACTGACTTACTGCTAGAATTTCTATGATCAGATAGAGTCAATCTATCATTATCCAAATATACACTCGATAAACATCAGACAATCAATTATCTGTTTGTATGAACAGAGTCTAAGCATGTAGCTCAGACATGTTCAATTCCTGCCCAGTTTGACTCTGACTATCCTGGATGGATAAAGATATGGGATCCAAATGGACCAAGCAGAGGGCATAAACCAAGCATGATGGTTTAACAAACTGAGGTACATCGTTCTTTCAACGTGAGTATCAAGTTTTTTGACCTCTAAAATAAGGTATAACCAAGAAATAAAAACTTTCATTTGATGCTCATGTACAAATGAAATAGCAATTACCAAATTAAATAATAATGTACCTTAATTTGTTGGTGTAAAAATTTCTTTTTTTTTCTAAAGTGGAAAATATATGTTAAATTAACAATGGACTAAGTTTGAGTATTTTTTGATTCTGAAAAGCGGTCTAAAACAAAGAACAGCTTTATGTACACACTATGTGGGTACCTACATTATCCACAGCTTTGTATAGGTATGCTTCCTTCACAGACTGATTCTGTAACTTTAAGTATAGAATTATCTGATTTTTTTATCAGATGTTCGTAGCCTGATATAACAGCAGTACCATTGCATGGAATCTTATCTAACAAATTTACTGATGAGCAGGAGGAGTATCTGAATGACTGTACAGTTTATTGTCTAAACTAGGACACTGTGGAAAAGAAATGATACACTATTTAATAATCACTCTAGGACAACAGGTGGATACTGGGACTGTCCTGAACAAACTGGGCTATATAACTACATGCCTCTTTTGTAAAATCATCTACAAAACATTAAATACTTTAACGATGACCCAGCAATCCCATTACTGGGTATACATCCAAAGGACTATAAATCGTTCTACTATAAGGACACATGCACACGAATGTTCATTGCAGCACTGTTTACAATAGCAAAGACCTGGAATCAACCCAAATGCCCATTGATGATAGACTGGACTGGGAAAATGTGGCACATATACACCGTGGAATATTATGCAGCAATCAGAAATGATGAGTTCGTGTTGTTTGTAGGGACATGGATGAATCTGGAGAACATCATTCTCAGCAAACTGACACAAGAACAGAAAATGAAACACCGCATATTCTCACTCATAGGCGGGTGATGAAAAATGAGAACACATGGACACAGAGAAGGGGAGTACTAAACATTGGGGTCTATTGGGGGGAAAAGGGGAGGGCCAGCGGGAGGGGGAGGTGGGGAGGGATAGCCTGGGGAGAAATGCCAAATGTGGGTGAAGGGGAGAAAGCAAACAAAACACACTGCCATGTGTGTACCTATGCAACCGTATTGCGTGCTCTGCACATGTACCCCAAAACCTAAAATGCAATTAAAAAAATAATAATAATAAATAAATAAATACTTTAACGAGACACATGCTATATCTGTACTCAGATTTGGCTACTAAAAGAATATCTAAAACAATGCAGTGACTGTTACTAGCCAGGGGGATAATAAATAAATTTCCAACAGAAACACATTAGGCTACAGCTTATTTTTCTAGGGATATATACATACTATTAAAAGATTGGGAGGGATTTAAACAAACACCACGGGCTAAATTATAAGAAACTTTAAGCATAGAGGAACAGAATATATAAAATTAGTTTTATGTATCAAAATTTCATAGTAAACTGACTCTTCTGAAGAACCAGAGACATAAGAAGTTAAATTTTTCCTTTTTTATAACCACCATGAATTATTTTCAGTGACACAGAAATTGATTCAGAGTTTAAAAGACAGGAACCTTCTATCAGAATATGACAAAAAAGCTGCCAAGAATTTCTAAAAAGTCAGCATTTTCTGGATCTCCAATTCCATACTAGACATTTATGTATCTGTAATAATATTAATCTGTAATGAAAAAGTAGACATTTATATATCTGCAATATTAATCTATAATAGAAAATTAGAATAAAAGTTCCTGGAACTAAAGTCTTACCATTTCCTTAATTCAGAATGTAATTTTACGACAGAGCAAGTTTCATACTCCTCAGTAATGAAAATCCATCCAAATTATTTTTTATTCCATAAAAGAGAAAATAAATTAATGTACAATTATGAAATATTTATTCTCATGTAAAACTCTTCTACCTGGAGATATCCAAATGTTGTCATTTCAAAGTAAAAAAGTTATTTATTTTCTTCTTGATTGTACTTGAGATAATCACTTACTATATAACTGCAACAGTCAGTGATGCTTCTATGCCAATCCACACATTTTACTATAAATTATTACTTTCCAGTAAACCAAAGAAGCTATGTTTTAAATGACCTCCAATTTAATTCTAAAATAACAGCAAATTCCTATTAACAACATTGCAAATATTAAAATAACTTGCATTCTTTAAAATTACAACATAATAAACTGTACTTAAAAGGAAAAAGAGTACCTTGTCAAAAGGTTTTCCAATAGCATTTTCTAAAGATAAGTCTTCCACTTCAAGTGACGGGTTATGGCATTTTAGTTCCTTTAGACACGCATTTAAAATGTCCAGAATAGCAGTCTGGATAGCAAGCATGGCAGGCGTCATAGAAACATGAATTTCTACAACTTCAGGTTTGTGCTGTTCTAAAAACGAGTTTACTGCTACGTGGAACCTAAGGAGACAAATATTTTTCAACAATTTTCAAGAGTTTCAGCAGCTATATATTTCTTGTCTTGGTTTAATACTCTTAACAGCTTTTACAAATGCTACAAACACGAAAAGCAAAACAACAAATAAATGAAAAGCTAAACAGCGCTTTCGAAAACTTTGAACGTCAATGAATGAAAGCAATGTATTACTCAGAAAAGGCAACGGTCAGCAAACTGCAGTCTGGGCCAAATCCTGTACTTGCTTTTCTTATTGGAATGCAGTCACATCCACATGTAAGCAGTCTACACCTGCTTTTGGGAATAACAGAATTGAGTAATTGTGACTATATGGCCTGCAAAGTCCAAAATATTTACTTCCTGGCCATTTACATAAAGAGTTTGTTGACTCCTAAAACAAGGTATGATCAAGAAAGGAAAAAATACTATAACTACTCTTTTTTTTTTTTTGAGACAAAGTTTTGCTCTCGTCGCCCAGGCTGGAGTGCAATGGTGCGATCTCAGCTTACTATGACCTCTGCCTCCTGGGTTCTAGTGATTCTCCTGCCTCAGCCTCCAGAGTACCTAGGACTATAGGTGTGTGCCACCACACCTGGCTAATTTTTGTATTTTAAGTAGAGATGGGGTTTCACCATGTTGACCAGGCCTGTCTCGAACTCCTGACCTCAGGTGATCTGCCTGCCTCGGCCTCCCAAAGTGTTGGGATTACGGCCGTGAACCATTGCGCCCAGCCTATAACTACTCTTAAAATAACATGTAGAATAACCAAAATACATGGTAGCACAGGTTGCAAAACGTTTTTCCTAGAAATTAACATAACTTCTTCAAAATCTTTGGGCTTTATTTCCCTAATGAGAATTTTCAAAGCAGAAGTGGTACTCTTAGCCAATAAATCTGCAGTACGCCTAAAGCTGTTGTATATGTGGGTCTCTAGATTCTGGGAGTTTCACTAAAAGTATAAGAAAGAATAAAAAGTGGCTGTCTTGGATGGATCTGATGGACCAGCAGAAAAGTAACTATCAAATTGCTCTCTATTGAAAAAAAAAATCACAAACTTGGTAAATACATATTTATATCTAGATGCGTTTGTTATAAACCTGACTAGGCCCTATCAAATAAAATTGCAATAAATTTTACATTATATTACATCAAAGTGCAACTAAGTTACAGTAGATCTAACAAAAAAGATGACAAATAATGTCATCATAACGTGACAAATAATGATTGTCACATAAAGTTCTTTACCGTGGCCACAGATACAGCTTCCTCACAAAAAGATTTCTCATCACTCTTTCCACATGACAAAAACCAGTATCAAAGGCAACAGCATTGTCTGTGAAAGCTTTAATGAAACCACGTTTGTTTTTCTGGCGAAAGAGGCGCAAGATGAATGCTTCTTGGCAAGACTCGATTATTCTGTGGGCTCTGTACACCAAGATGCCTGAGGGGGAGAAGGAAAATTTAAATTACAGAACAGGTAAGTACTTTGTATGCTCATTTCTATTCATTCATCACATTTTTCTTAAGTACTTACATGAGAATGAACAAATACCATTCTAGACTGGGGATACAGCCACGAACAGAACAGACATAAATCCCTGTCCTCAATGAATTGAGGACAAACAATATAAATGAGTAAAATGCTTTGTATGTTACAAGTGCTGAGGAGAAAAGATGAATCAGAGAAGGAGGAGAGGGAGGATGCATGAGGGACGGCCTTGCCAGGGTGATATCTGAGTAAAGGCTGGAAAAAGGCAAGTCCTGTGACCCCCTAACCCTAACCCCGTGACCATCTGAGTTCCAGCCTGTCAGGCTGAGGGGACAATGAGGGCACAGGTCCTGGGGTGGGGTGTTTCTGGCAAGTCTGGGCAACATCTACATCACCTATTAGATGAATTCAATTTTCAGAATCAGAATATAGTCAATTCAGAGGTAAATTAGTCCATCTAAAACAAAAACCTTTAATCGATATACTGAATACACGTTTTTGGGGTGTGTGTGATTATAACACCTCAGTATCTAAAAAATAAGAACAATGATACATGTTTCCTTATTTATGAAATGAGACTGCTCACCCAGATCTTTCATATATATTGTGTCATCTGATGCAGTGTGATTAGTAGTAAGTTAGGGAGAAACATGAGATGACATAAAGGCATACAGACATCATTTCCAGATCAAAACCTCAGTTACTCTGTGATGAGTCTCAGTCTTTTAGACCTAAATCAAGCCGGTTACCTAACATATATTTAGGATAATGTACATGCATGCTTTTGATCCAGTTCTCATATTTGGAAGGGTCTGGCAAATGATACTAACAGTGATTTATGACCCTTCTAATAGTTCAATAAACTAAATTCAGATTTTACGATTTTAATGTTTAAATTTTAGGTCTAGATGGATGGAGCTAAATTTTACTCTAGCTCAGCAAATTATTTTTCAAATATGGTAAAAATTAATAGTGTTATTTAGGCATTTATAGATAAAGCATTTTCAATAACCCTCCAGTACATGCACATAACTAATTTATGACTCAGAAATATTCTGCACCTAGTTGGTGGGTTTTCCCAAGGACTCTAAGGGGCCATATTTTATTAGCCTGGATTGAAATATTACATGAAGTCAAGAATAATAAAAATGAACTTCTAAAGAAAAGAGGAAACATACACCATGGAATACTATGCAGCCATAAAAAAGGATGAGTTCACGTCCTTTGCAGGTACATGGATGAAGCTGGAAACAATTATTCACACCAAACTGACACAAGAACAGGAAACCAAACACTGCATGTTCTCACTCATAAGTGGGTGTTGAACAATGAGAACACATGGACACAGGGAGGGGAGCATCACACAACGGGGCCTGTTGCGGGGTGGGGAGGACTAGGAGAGGGATAGCAGGGGGTCGGGGGATTGGGGAGGGATAACATTAGGAGAAATACCTAATGAAGGTGATGGGGGATGGATGCAGCAAACCATCATGGCATGTGTATACCTATGTCACAATCCTGCACGATCTACACATGTACCCCAGAACTTAAAATATAATAAGAAAAAAAGAAAAGGAGAAACTAAATTTAACACCTAACTGCGTTAAAGACCCCCCCTTTATCAAAAAATTAAAAATAGAAATGATATAAGCAGGTTAGATTATGGGAGGAGTGTCCTTTAATTTTGTTTTGTTCCTGTGACATTGGTACCTCATACCATACTATAATTACTTCTCTACTCATCAGTCTCTTCCACTAACCTGCCTGAGAACAGGAACACTGTAACACCAACAGGCAGAGATCACAGAATGCTTACTATGTGCCGCGATACCATTGACATATAGATTTCATTTCACCCTGATAATCCCAGGAGCAAGGTGCTATCTTTTTCATCAATGTATGGGCGATAAGCTGAGGCATAGAGAAATTAAGAAACTAGCCGGGCGCCATGGCTCATGCCTGTAATCACAGTACTTGGGAGGCTGAAGTAGGCAGATTATGAGGTCAAAAGATCAAGACCATCCTGGCCAATATGGCAAAACCCCACCTCTACTAAAAATACAAAAATTAGCTGGGCATGGTGGTGTGCACCTCTCCTCCCAGCTACTCAGGAGACTGAGGCAGAAGAATGATTTGAACCATAGAGATGGAGTTTGCAGTGAGCTGAGATTGCGCCACTGCACTCTAGGCTGGTGATAGAGCAAGACTCAGTCTCAAAAAAAAAAAGAGAAAGAATTAAGAAACTTGTCTAAGGATACACAGCTGGTGTAAGATGAAGATAACTCAAACCCAGAAGCAGTCTAACTCATGAGTTCACCATACCGTCCCATTCACCTATCTTCAGAATCCTTCCTGCCAAACAAAGGACCCTTAGTGAGCTAAATATTGTTTAATGAATATAAAGTGTGGGCACAGCACTGGGTACACAAATCCAACATGTAACTGAAAAATACATATATATTGCACAGAAAGTGTGTTCTTAGGTCTGTCTGGAGATGTCGGGATCAGTTTTGGCAATGAAAGCGTCCTCCTGTCCTCTTCTTTTCAAAGTACAATCTCACCAGATATGGTATTTACACAGTTCTCCCATGTTAGGGGTTCTGGTTAGCAGGGGCTCCCAGGCTAGGCTGTGGGGGTAATGGTGGTGACAGGTGAAGAAGTTAGGGCTGGTGATTCGGCCTTTCCACCTGCACTTCATGGACTGCCCTTAGGTCAGTCCTGGGGAGTGATCCCAGGGAAGGAAAGAATTTGAAGGAGTTCATTTTTGGCATTCATTTACATTCCACTCAGCCAAGCATCAGTAACAGCTCCAGCTTCATTATTGTCTCGGCTTTTATTAGAAAGGAGGAGGGAATTTGGCATTTTTAATTAGGAGCTTCCGATAAGCTAGACTTCAACACTGCATAGATTCACGTTGCTCTACTCTCTGCCTAATTAGGGTGCACTGTAACTGAAAGTCACAGAACATTACTGACACCTAGTGGTCGCTTCAAATACAACACAATTAAAATAAAAATCAATTTAAAAAATAAAGTAAAATCAAGCTTATAAGAAGCTGCAAACAATAAAAGACTTTGTGATGTATCAAGATTTCTGGCTATAAAAGGCTAATTTTATTTGGTATCAATTACTAAGAGTTTGTTGTGCACCAGGCACTGTATTAAGCAATTATTTTATTTTACTTAATCCTTATAACTTTAGGAGGCACTGTTTTCTTAAAAAATGAGAAAACTAGGGTTAATGACAATTAAGGAGCTTGTTTTGTAAGCAGGGTGTTAGCAATTTAAAATCAGGTGAGCCTATGATATTGTTTCTAACAATCACAAATGTTATAAAAGAGTAACCAAACTTCTTCAATCCTTTTACTGTGAATTATATGAAGCATTCATTCATACATTGATTCATCAGATATTTCTGGAGGGTCATCTAGGTTCAGAGCAATATGGCAGATATGGTGGAAAGTAATATCATGAATTTCACAGTCTCTCTGCCTCCAAAATTCACTAAAGATCACAGTGCTGTATCCATTCATCATTCATCCAACAAATATGTCTTGAGGACCTACTATGTACCAGTTATTTAGCCTGGGATGAACAGGTTCTTCCTCGTGCTTAAGCTTACCTTGTGAGTGAGACAAACACACAAATGTAATGTAGTGTCGTGAGCACTACGACTGGGGAGAAATACAGTGTAATAAGAGGGCACGTAGGCACGGCTCCTACATTAGCTTTGGGGACATCAGAAAACATTTTTGAAGGGATAATAAAAATGAATCTCTTTTCTATTTAATTCTAGCTAAAATCATTTTTCCCCAAAATAAGCAAGCAACTACTTAATTTCAAATAATGCAAAAAAAATCTTATAGTGGAAAGCTAAATATTTTAAGATATATACAAAGATTATGAACATCTAAAATCTGATTAAGTTCTAAAAGTAAATGCTAATGAATTACAAGTATTTACTGAGTAAGAGCTTAGAAAACAAGAAAAAGTCCATCTTACATTTAGTTACTTATTAGCTCACAGGTATTTATTGAGCATCTACTGTGTCAGGTATCATGCTAAAAGTTGGAAGTGCAATGTTGAGCAAAAGGATCCAGTAGTGCCCACTAGAAGGTTCTAGCAGAGCATTTAGCAGAGGGGACAGACAAAAATAAAAATATACAAATTTACTCTCTCCAAGTCCATCCCTCCAAGATGACAAAGAAAAGAAGGAATGACAGTTGTGCCAAAAAGGGCCGCAGCCATGTGCAGCCTATTCACTGCATAAACTGTGCCTGATTCACACCCAAGGACAAGGTCATTAAGAAATTCGTCATTTGAAACACACTGGAGGTCACAGCAGGAAGGGACGTTTCTGAAGCGAGCATCTTCAATGCCTATGTGCTTCCCAAGCTGTATGCGAAGCTGCATTACTGTGTGAGCTGTGCAATTCACCGTACAGTAGTCAGGAATTGATCTCGTGAAGCCCGAAAGGACCGAACACCCCCACCCCAATGCAGACCTGCAGGTGGTGCCCCATAATCCCCACCAAAGCCCATGTAAGGAGCAGAGTCCTTCAAGACTGAAGACAAGACTATCTTCTGGAGAGAAATAAAATGGAAATTGTACTTTAAAAAAAGTACAAATTTACATACAAATAATAAGATTTCAATTCTTACCAGTAATTAAATCTGAAGGTATTCTATCTGTCAAGAAGTCAACCACAAGTATCCTACTTGTTGCAAATATAACACCACCTTGTGTGTAAACTTCATAGCGACTGTTGCTTGTAATTTCATTTGTTACACGGCGAGGGAGGTGTTCAACTCCTTCTATCTTCAGTTGATTGATAAAGTACTCCTAAATCAAATCAAACTTGATTAGTAGACTATTTAATACAGGGCAGTTTTTAATAGGTTGCAGATATTTAAAATAATGGCTATCTTTCTCTGAGATAATGAACTTAATAATGAATATACAAACTAACTTACTTCTTTTTTTTTTTAGATGGAGTCTTGCTCTGTTGCCTAGGCTGGAGTGCAATGGCACGCTCTTGGCTCACTGCAACCTCCGCCTTCCGCGTTCAAGCGATTCCCGAGTAGCTGGGACTACAGGCGCAGGCCACCATGCCCGGCTAACTTAATTTTTAGTAGAGATGGAGTTTCACTGTGTTAGCCAGAATGGTCTTGATCTCCTGCCCTTGTGATCTGCCCGCCTCGACCTCCCAAAGTGCTGGGATTACAGGCGTAAGCCACCGCGCCCAGCCCTGAGTTACTTCTTTATAGTAACTTCAACCAAGCAGCCTACATTTGATGAGGTTTTCTTGTTTGGGGGTTTACACTAAGGAATAATTGTACTTCAGTCATTCTCACCACTCAACTACAATATCACATGCACACACACACAAAACCTCAAACTTTTAGAAGCCCGGATTAAAAGATTTCTACTACCTAGAAAATACCTCCCACCAAAGCCAGACTTATAGCCAAATGCACTGTATGAGAAGATAACGAGGGAATCCTTCCCCAGACAATGTTTTAGACTATTAATTCTGTCCTGATCCATCCTATAGGGACGTCATGTCAGTGGGGTCCTTGGCTGGGTTTATTTACATCTTCAGTTCAAAACCACCTTTACTAGGCACCGTGTGGTGCCTTAGGCTCTATATCAAACACTGGGGATACCTAGATGAATCAAACAGGGTCCCTGCCCTCAGAGAGACTGTGGTCACTCTTCTCAGCTGACATTTTTCTCCTGGCCACCTGATCTATCTAGGGGATCATCAGACTAGTCAGACCAAGCTGTGTCCCCTCTCAACAACCCCCAGCCCCAGGTGTAGCCCCATTTCACCTTCCTGTGTTTTCCATTCTCCAATATTGCAGTTAACCTTTGCCAACATCCTCAGCTTCCAGCTCCAATTCCTTTCTGACCCTATGGCCTTTTTAACACAGCCTTGGCGAATACCCTATTCCCTCCTCTTCCCTATTAGGTTTTTTCCAGTCTCACTATCTCCTTTCATGTCTTCCCATCACCCTCAGAGACCCTTCCATTCCCGCCACTGTTCCCTTTCAGAGACCACCCTTCTGCCCCCAGAAACTCCCTTGATAGCCAACTGAAGGACTCTCCCGTTATCCTATTCAGAGCCTCCTTTCGACATCTCCCCTTACCCTGCAGGGGCCTCCGATCGTCTCCTACTGCTCAGAGTCCCTCCACCTTTCAGTGCCCTTGCACTCCTACCAGGGGACTCCTGCATCCTTCCGGGGACCCTTCCCATCCCTCTTGGTGTTGTCAGGGACTTGCCCCATTCTCTAGCTAGCCGAACATAGCCGAGGAGAGCCGAGAATGAGACAACCGTGGGGGCAACTTCCTCTTCCATCAATCTTACTGCGCCTGCAAGGTGTCAGGGACCCGCATCCCCTGGGGACCACTCCCATTTCTCTTAGTATTCCTGAACTCTGGTCAAAGACTTGCGTCCTTCTCGGGACCCCTCCCAACCCTCCCAGAGTCCCAGCACGCTATCAGGCACTTGCATCTCTCATCCCCCTTGCATTCCTCTTAGCGTTCTTGAATTCCTGCCAGGGGGACGAGCAGCCTTCTCGGGGCTCCTCCTATTCTTTTCAGTGTCCCCGCAGTGTGAGCAACCGGTATACTCCTCGCGACCCCTCCCATACGTCTGTGTCCCCGCAGTGTGAGGGACCTGCATCCCCCTGGCGACCCCTCCCATCCTCTGTGTCATCGCGTAGTGTCAGGGGTCTGAATCCTCCCTCAGAGCCCCTCTATCCCTGTCAGAGACCTCGCATCCGCTCAGGATGCCCCCCAACATTCTCGGGGTCCCCTCACTCCCGCGCCAGCGCGGCCGCACCTCCTCGGCCGACTGCGTGTTGAGCACGAGCACCAGGCAGGCTGGGTGGCAGTGCAGCCGGAGAAAGTGGTAGAGGAGCCGGTCCGCGCCGAGCCCGCGGGCGCACACTACCAGCCCGTCAGTGTCGAGCAGTTCCAGCACCAGCTGCCGTTCGTACTCCAGCAGCGGCGCCATGGCCGACTGTCTAACCGGCAGTACCGGCTCCATGGAGGCTCTTCCGGGGCGCAGCCGAATGCAGCCGAAAGGAGCCGAGTCCGAGACGAGAGTAGGCCGAACTTAACCGAAGAGAGCCGAGTCCGAAAGGACGAAATCCAGCCGAAAAAAGCCAAGGAGAGCCGAGACTGAGACGATCGTGGGGCGAACGCAGCCGAAGAGGAGCCGAGACCAGGACGAGCGTGCTCTCAGAAAGCCGAAGAGAGCCGAGCTTGAGGAGGCAAGCGTCGGCCGAACTCAGCCGAAGAGGAGCCGAGTGGAGCCGAAGGTTCGTAGAGTCACCTGGAGAGGCTGGTGCCCCCTATCGGTGTAGCTTGCAGACATCGGGCTCCATCCACGTCTCTTGAGGTTCCACATCACCCGGTACCCTAGACCTAGAACGAACGCGAGCTGACAAAAAGGAAGGGGAGAGAAAGTTAGCCTAAGGAGCCTAATCCCCTGACATCGACAGTTGAAAAAGTTAATGGTCAATATTCCAAATGCGCCTAGAGTTAGTAGCACCTGTTTCCTAGGGTGGTTTGTGGGCTTTCCTTTTGCAATTGGTCCCCATCTCTCTTTTCATTTTTATTTTTTTCGAGACAGGCTGGAGTTCAGTGCCTGTGGAATAAGCAGAATCATTTACCAACTTCAGATTCCTGTTTGCCTCCAAAAGACTTAGGTACAATAAACTATTTTTAAAAATCCCTCCTTCCACTAGAGGGACACCTCCCGCAGTCTTTGCTCTATACCTAGAAATGCCTGATCATTGAACTAGTAGAGGAATGGTTTTGTATAGAACCTCCCACCTTTATGATTAGAAAATAGAAAATACAAGTAAGCAAAAATGAAAATCACTTGATTCCATTACGTGGAAATAACCACTGTTAACATCATGAAATCTATTTCATTTAGTCCTTTTTTTCCTGTCTGTACACACATTCTCTCGTCCACAGTTCTTTTACCGGTGTGATGTAATTAATATCACTGCTTTAAACCCCCAACTTTGTCATTAACATTTGGCAAACCTCTGAACATGATGCTTCGTATTATTTTACAAAGTCCTTTTATATGGCTGATGAGATTTCCATAATGTAGATGCATTTATTTCCCTAATTGCTATTAGAGGATGTTTAGTTTGTTTCTGCTTTTTCCCCTCCAGTATTACAAATAATATCTCACTAAATATCTTTGTATGTAAATTCGACCATGGCCGTCAGATACACGTCTAGAAATGAATAATCACTGGGATAAAGAGAAAAACCTTTGTAAGGCTTTTCATTACAAGCACTTTGCCACACTGCCCTCCAGAGAGCCTATACCAATTCACATTCACAGCAGCCGTTTCAAAGCGGATCGGTTTCTCTACCTCTTTACTGCTTAATCCGGTATTTTCCTTATATTTTGTCAAGATGAAAACAGCATCTAATTTCTGAATGCTGTTTAAGTGGAAAGGGATGCCTGCAGACACTTTACATATGGCGTTTCCTGAGAGGCAGATATTAATCTCTTCAGTTCTGCAAGTGAGAAAAATGGAGGTACAGGGAGGTTATATAACTTGGTCAAGGCTAAGGGGCTAGTGTGTTTCTTAGGTCTATTTCAGGATATGGTACTCAACACATATTTAGAAAATGAAGATTGAAATGACAAGGCTGAAATTCAAACCTGATTCCCAAGCTGTGGTAGGCAGAATATCGGCTTCCCAAAGAGGTTCACATCCTAATCCCTGGAGCTGGTCTGTTATCTTACGTGGCAAAGGGGCATTTGCAGATGTGATTATATTCAGGTTCTGGTGATGAGGACATTATACTGATTATCCGGGTGGGCTCAGTGTATCACCAACGTGCTTATAAAGAAGGAGAGAGGGGCCAGGTGCGGTGGCTCACATCTGTAATCCCAGCACTTTGAGAGGCTGAGGAGGGCAGATCACAAGGTCAGGAGATCGAGACCATCCTGGCTAACATGGTGATACTCCGTCTCTACTAAAAATACAAAAAATTAGCCGGGCATGGTGGTATGTGCCTGTAATCCCAGCTACCTGGGAGGCTGAGGCAGAAGAATCACTTGAACCAGGGAGGTGGAGGTTGCAGTGAGCCGGGAGTGCGCCACTGCACTCCTGCCTGCATGACAGAGTGACACTTCATCTCAAAAAAAAAAAAAAAAAAAAAAGAGAGAGAGGTAGGAGGGTCAGATTCAGAGATGAGACGGGAAGCCGAGGTCAGAGTGATGTGGAAGGGGCACTGAACCAAGGAATGCAGCCTTTACCAGGTGAAACAGGCAAGGAAATGGATTCTCCCTGAGAGCTCCCAGGAGGACTGCAGCTCCGCTGACCCCCTTTGGACTTCTTACCCCCAAACTGGAAGATGATGAATTTGTGTTGTGTTAAGCCTGTTTGATCAGATAATGTCCCCAGCTGATTGAAACAAAACAAAATTTAAAAACCATAGATAGGAATATACGGTAAAACAATCCTTTTGGAAGGCGATTGGTCAATCTACATAGAAATTTTAAATACATGTACAGATAAATATATACATATAGTCATCTGGTGAATGTTTATGGGGCACCCAATGTGTCATGTGCTGCTCTAAGTGCTGGGAGTTTATTAGAGGGCAAAGCAGGCAAGGAACTTACATTCTAGTGGGGACGTTGTATATGAAGATGTGTATTCATTATACCATTGTGTGGACTATTGTTATTTCTTGGATATTTCTCCTAAATGTCCAAGAATAGTAGAGTAGTTAAAATTTCTTCATCCATCTCTGAAAAGCAGAATATCAGACAGCCGTGAAAACCTGTATGTGGAAAGATATTCAATATGTTTTATTGTATATTGGAAAAAGCAGTTGCAAAACAGTAATGAATAGTATGGCCCCATTTTTATAAAAACAAAACAGTAAGGGGTAGTTGCATGTGACTGCAAAGAAAAACCCTGGAATAAAGATCTGTTGACTTTAACCACTGCAATGACCTCTGGGGGTTGAAATAAGCAGTGGGTTTTAGGGTCAGAACTTTGTACTTCAGTATATGCTTTTCGATTCCGTTTGACTTTCTTATCATGAACTTACATTGCTTTTAAAATAAAAATGAATGAAAAAACTTCCCAGCTACTGTATAAATACTGCATCAGCAAGAAAATATTACCTTGTGAATTCTAGATTTAAATGTGTGTGGTGGGCAACATTTAATGTCAAATGTTGGTATCTGGGAAAGCAGACAAAATAAATCGTGACAGGTTGTGTCTACACATTTCACTTTTATTCCTGGGTAAAAGTTTTCAATCTAAAGTGAAGAGGTTTTTTTATTTGAGATAAGGTCCCGCTTTGTTGCTCAGGCTGGAGTGAGTGCTGGAGTGCAATGGTGCGATCCCGGCTCACTGCAAGCTCCCCTTCCCGGGTTCAAGCAATTCTCGTGCCTCAGCCTCCTGAGTAGCTGGGATTACAGTCACCCACAACTATGCCCAGCTAATTCTGTATTATTAGCAGAGATGGGGTTTTGCCATGTTGGCCAGGCTGGTCTTGAACTCTTGACTCCAAGGGATCTGCTCGCCTCGGCTTCCCAAAGTGCTGGAATTACAGGCATGAACCACCGCACCCAGCCTAAAGCTTGCTTTTTTTTCCACTTATAATTTTTTGATGTCCTTTCTGCTTTAAATTATCTCCAATGTGGATTTTAACTATTTTATTAGAATTTAAATTTCCTTGAATTCTTTTTTTTTGGCTTTTTGTTCTGCATTTCTGCCTTTACCTTTATAGCTCCCTACTTTTGTTTCATAGAAGCTTCTTGCTTTTATGTTTATTGATCTATCTATATCTACATAGATTTATATATGCAGATTATCTATATTTATATCTACCTAGATATATTTAGATATAAATTTAGATAGATATAAATGTACAGTTAGCCCTCCATGGGTCTGTATAAGTGGGTTCAACTGTGGTTTGAAAATACTGAAAAGGAAAACCCACAAAAAATAACAATATAAAAATAAAATAATTTCAGAGTGAATAAAATGTGAAAAAATTATCAGTAAAAGTTTAAATAAAAGTCAATACTTTAACAACTATTTACATTGTGTTGTGTATTATAAGCAAGCTAGAGATGCTTTAAAGTGTATGGGAGGATGTGCATGGGTTATATTCAAATACTACAGCATTTTATACAAGGCACTTGCACATCAAGGAATTTGGGTATTAATGTATAGGGAGGCAGGGAGTCCTGGGACCAATTCTCCATGAATAACAAGGGACAACTGTATTTGTTATTTATCAAAAAGTAATTTAAAAATGTTTTGTCTGGGCCGGGCACGATGGCTCACGCCTGTAATCCCAGCACTTTGGGAGGTTGAGGCAAGCAGATCACTGAAGTCTCAAGTTCGAGACCAGTCTGATCAACATGGAGAAACCCCGTCTCTACTGAAAAGACAAAAGTAGCCAGGTGTGGTGGTGCATGCCTATAATCCCAGCTACTTGGGAGGCTGAGGCAGGAGAATCACTTCAACCCGGAAAGTGGAGGTTGAGGTTAGCTGCGATCATGCCATTGCACTCCAAACTGGGCAACAAGAGCAAAACTCCATTTCAAAAAAACAAAATTTTGTCTGTATTTTTTAGAAAATCAGTTTTAACTTATGCTTTTTTTTCCCTTGTCTTTAGAAAAATGTTCTTTTTTTTCTTTTGCTTTAGTACCTTTTTATAGCCCTCAAATGTGAATCATAATCTTAGGAAAGAAAACCTTTTCATCACTTACCATTCCACCAAGATATTGTCTATAAATAATAAGGTTTGTGATATTTTCTAACAACAGATTATCAGTCTCAAGTTACACAACACTAAAAAGAAATACATTATGTGTTTTTGAAGTCCTAGAATAAAAACAATTTAAAAATAACATTATCTACAGAACTTATTTGGATCTACTGAGAATAAAGTTTACGTGCAAGAGGGATTATTAAAAATTTGTATAGATAAAAAATATTTGGTAGTAATAATTTATAAAATTAGAAAAGTCAAATTTAATTTGAGGTGTTCCCAATATTCTACTTAAATTTTGATATTTAGGGATTTAATGTAATCTATAACATTTAGGGACTGAAAAACAGAAAGCAATTTGAATATTTACACATTTGTTTCGTGAAGAGCTCTCAAGCAAAGCAATGCTTGATCACAGCTGTCCTGCCTCTGCCTACTTTTCTCTGGAACAGATAATTTTAAGGGCATCCAGCTACACAGAAGGCTGAGGCAGGAGCATCACTTGAACCCAGGAGGTGGAGGTTGCAGTGAGCTGAGATCACACTATTGCACTCCAGTCTGGGTAACAGAGTGAGACTCTGTCTCAAAAAAAGGAAAAAACTTAAGAGCATCAGCACCAGAACTTTATAGATACACAAATATCTAGGCTCATACAGCCGACTTAGCAAGACTTTTGTAAAAGTGGAATAACTTCATATAAGATATATAAAGAGGCCAGGCCCAGTGGCTCACGTCTGTAATCCTCGCACTTTGAGAGGCTGAGGCAGGTGAATCACCTGAGGTCAGGAGTTTGAGACCAGCCTGGCCAACATGGTGAAGCCCCATCTGTACTAAAAATACAAAAAAAGAAAAAATTAGCTGGGCATGGTGGCAGGCACCTGTAATCTCAGCTACTTGGGAGGCTGAGGCAGGAGAACTGCTTGAACCCGGGAGG